CCCCCCCCATCACAGGTGGTGTCCCCCCATCACAGGGGATATCCCGGGTCTCCCTGCAATCACTTACCTGACGACAGAACCGTTCATCTTCGCAAACAAAAGTCTCAGGACCTTCTCCTTCTGCTCCCAGGTTAGATCTGCAACGTCAACTTTCCCGCTCTCTATATAAGACCTATCACACAGAGCACAGAGGTGAGCATGATGGTAACAATGGTGGGGTGAGCGTGATGGTAACAATGGTGGGGTGAGCGTGATGGTAACAATGGTGGGGTGAGCGTGATGGTAACAATGGTGGGGTGAGCTACAACTGGATTCATCATAGGAAAGAGGAATATTAGGATCATAGCAGTGGGAGAGAAAAGCTACAGGACAGTAATAGGGGGCTGGGTGTGTTATGATCATAGCAGTAGAAGACCGGGGTAGTGGGACCATAATAGAGGGCAGGTATATGAGGACCATAGTGGTAGGAGAGGGGTGTAGTGGGACCATAATGGGGGATGGGTATATGAGGACCATAGTGGTAGGAGAGGGGTGTAGTGGGACCATATTGAGGCAAGCACAGTGATATAGTAAATGGAAGGCATGGGTGAGGTGTGGTCATAATTAGACCTCGGGATGAGGTGTGGTCATAGTTGGACCTCAGGATGAGGTGTGGTCATAGTTGGACCTCAGGGCGAGGTGTGGTCATAGTTGGGCCTCAGGGCGAGGTGTGGTCATAGTTGGGCCTCAGGGTGAGGTGTGGTCATAGTTGGACCTCAGGGTGAGGTGTGGTCATAGTTGGACCTCAGAGTGAGGTGTGGTCATATTTGGACCTTAGAGTGAGGTGTGGTCATAGTTGGACCTCAGGGTGAGGTGTGGTCATAGTTGGACCTCAGGGTGAGGTGTGGTCATAGTTGGACCTCAGGGTGAGGTGTGGTCATAGTTGGGCCTCAGGGTGAGGTGTGGTCATAGTTGGACCTCAGGGTGAGGTGTGGTCATAGTTGGACCTCAGGCTGAGGTGTGGTCATAGTTGGGCCTCAGGGTGAGGTGTGGTCATAGTTGGACCTCAGGGTGAGGTGTGATCATATTTGGTGTGATTGTTACCATTTCTCGGCCTCTCGGAGATCTTGGCTGACATCGTTGGTACTGTGGTCCTTGTTATGGAAGGTTCTGATTTTAGGGTAATGCTCTGTTCCTGCCGCCGCTTGCATCATCCGGCTGTTGTATGCTGCCTGCGCCATCTTCTGATAACACATTCGGCTGGATTTGATTTCCTGCTTCACCTGCTGCAGGGCTTCCAGTAAGAAGCGTTCCACCTCTGTCCTCTCCTGTAGGATATTGTGGGCCAGCTTCTTAACCCGGCTCATCTCCCGATCCTTCATCTCCAGGAGCTTGTGGAGCTTCTGCAGCTCTGCACTTCCTGTCTGGTCTACTCCTTGTATCTGGAGCTGATTCTTCTGCATGCCGTCCTCTATCTCCAGCCTCCTCTGCTCGGCATGCTCCATTGTCCGCACAGTCCTCTGTAATTCCTGGATCTGGGCGTTTTTATGGAACACTTCCAGAACTTTTTCCTGAACCAACTTTTCATTGGTTTCCTGGGAGAAGACAAAGGAATTGTGGACGTATTGTCACATGTTAGGTTGTAAAGGGGGAGGAGCTGTTTTAGAACCATTTGTTATTTAATCTTATAATAATAATTCTCTCAGACCGGTGCTGAAAAGCCGCCTTCTCTAAAACTGTTTTATCGAGACCCTAGACCTGCTCTCCTTAAAGCAGAACTCGGGGGAAAAGTGTGTTCAACTTTAAGTGCAAGGGTTAACTGCTCGCTTTTGTCTAGCTGCCCAAATAAACATAGTAGTGCGCACGGACTTTGTACAATGTTCTTGGTGGTATTAACCTTTCAAGAAAAAAATAAAATAACCAGTAGTAGTAAATGCATCTGTCTTGCAGTTATGCAGGAGGAGGGTGACAGTGTGCAGAGACACAGGAGAGGGGAGGGTTATGGGCTGCAGAGACACAGGAGAGAGAAGAAGAGGGACATGCTGCAGAGACACAGGAGAGAGAAGAAGAGGGACATGCTGCAGAGACACAGGAGGAAGGGTGATGGGCTGCAGAGACACAGGAGAGAGAAGAAGAGCGACATGCTGCAGAGACACAGGAGGAAGGGTGATGGGCTGCAGAGACACAGGAGAGAGAAGAAGAGGGACATGCTGCAGAGTCAAAGGAGGGAGGGTGATGGGCTGCAGAGAAACAGGAGGAAGGGTGATGGGCTGCAGAGACACAGGAGGAAGGGTGATGGGCTGCAGAGACACAGGAGGGAGGGTGATGGGCGGCAGAGACACGGGAGGGAGGGTGATGGGCGGCAGAGACATGGGAGGAAGGGTGATGGGCGGCAGAGACACAGGAGATGGGGCAGGAGGAGGCATATATAATTTGTAAAACACAAGAAGCAAAGTTTACAATCAGAGGAATAAGTTATATAAAAAGCTGAATATATTCTTCTGTGGCGGAAGCAGAGACATAAAACAACCTTCTCCTGCAGAAGACGCTCCTTTTCCTCCTTCAGTTGTGTGATGGCCTTCTGCAAACTGTATGCCTCACGTACATGATAAGAGATGGCCTCTTTCAGGCGAACGTTCTCCTTGAAGATGGATCTTCCTGCATCATCCAGCTGCCTGTGAGCAAAGAATAAGGAATTGGGTCCAAGGTTCTGTTACCAGTAACATTTTGTATGAAATGATTCACCATGAGGACCAATACAGAATCAGACACTGCACAGTACACCAAGACCCTTCTTCACTGTACACCAAGGACCAACACCGTACACTAAGACCCAACATGGACTGTACACCTAGACCCAACACCAAGACCCAACATGGACTGTACACCTAGACCCAACATCATACACCAAGACCCAGCATGGACTGTACACCTAGACCCAACATCATACACCAAGACCCAGCATGGACTGTACACCTAGACCCAACACCAAGACCCAGCATGGACTGTACACCTAGACCCAACATCATACACCAAGACCCAGCATGGACTGTACACCTAGACCCAACACCATACACTAAGACCCAGCATGGGCTGTACACCTAGACTCAACACCATACACTAAGACCCAGCATGGACTGTACACCTAGACCCAACATCATACACCAAGACTCAACATGGACTGTACACCTAGACCCAACACCAAGACCCAGCATGGACTGTACACCTAGACCCAACATCATACACCAAGACCCAACACCATACACTAAGACCCAGCATGGACTGTACACCTAGACCCAACACCATACACTAAGATCCAGCATGGACTGCACACCTAGACCCAACACCATACACTAAGACCCAACATGGACTGTACACCTAGACCCAACACCATACACCAAGACCCAGCATGGACTGTACACCTGAACCCAACACCATACACTAAACACTAAAACCCAGCATGGACTGTACACCTTGACCCAACATCATACACCAAGACTCAACATGGACTGTACACCTAGACCCAACACCAAGACCCAGCATGGACTGTACACCTAGACCCGACACCATACAAAAAGACCCAGCATGGACTGTACACCTAGACCCAACACCATACACTAAAACCCAGCATGGACTGTACACCTAGACCCAACACCATACACTAAAACCCAGCATGGACTGTACACCTAGACCCAACATCATACACCAAGACTCAACATGGACTGTACACCTAGACCCAACATCATACACTAAGACCCAGCATGGACTGTACACCTAGACCCAACACCATACACTAAGACCCAGCATGGACTGTACACCTAGACCCAACACCATACACTAAGACCCAACATGGACTGTACACCTAGACCCAACACCATACACTAAGACCCAACATGGACTGTACACCTAGACCCAACACCATACACTAAGACCCAGCATGGACTGTACACCTAGACCCAACACCATACACTAAGACCCAGCATGGACTGTACACCTAGACCCAACACCATACACTAAGACCCAACATGGACTGTACACCTAGACCCAACACCATACACTAAGACCCAGCATGGACTGTACACCTAGACCCAACACCATACACTAAGACCCAACATGGACTGTACACCTAGACCCAACACCATACACTAAGACCCAACATGGACTGTACACCTAGACCCAACACCATACACTAAGACCCAGCATGGACTGTACACCTAGACCCAACACCATACACTAAGACCCAGCATGGACTGTACACCTAGACCCAACACCATACACTAAGACCCAGCATGGACTGTACACCTAGACCCAACACCATACACTAAGACCCAGCATGGACTGTACACCTAGACCCAACACCATACACTAAGACCCAACATGGACTATACACCTAGACCCAACACCATACACTAAGACCCAGCATGGACTGTACACCTAGACCCAACACCATACACGAAGATCCAGCATGGACTGTACACCTAGACCCAACACCATACACTAAGACCCAACATGGACTATACACCTAGACCCAACACCATACACTAAGACCCAGCATGGACTGTACACCTAGACCCAACACCATACACTGAGATCCAGCATGGACTGTACACCTAGACCCAACATGGACTGTACACCTAGACCCAACACCATAACGAAGATCCAGCATGGACTGTACACCTAGACCCAACACCATACACTAAAGACCCAGCATGGACTGTACACCTAGACCCAACACCATACAGTAAAGACCCAACATGGACTGTACACCTGAACCTAACACCATACAGTAAAGACCCAACATGGACTGTACACCTGAACCCAACACCATACAGTAAGACCCAGCATGGACTGTACACCTGAACCCAACACCATACAGTAAAGACCCAACATGGACTGTACACCTAGACCCAACACCATACACTAAGATCCAGCATGGACTCTACACTCAGATCCAATGCTGTAAATTAACACCCAGTATCAAAATTACACCCAGACCCCACAGGTACTGCAAAGAAGACCAACACCAAACACTAAGACCTAGCATCCATACTACACCCAGACACAAAATCAACCGCACACCGACAACCAACAATGTACGCCGAGACCCAACAACATATGCTAAGCCTTAGCATGGACTGTACAATCAGACCCAACACCAAGACCTAATATGTCTGTACACCAAAGAACAACACCGTACATTGAGGCCCATCAGTAATTGTGCACCCAGACCCAAAACCATATGCTAGGACCCAACTCTGATTGTACCTACCAGGATTACCATAATTTACACACGCATAGAACTCTGCACCAGGACTAGACACTGGCTGTAGATTCAGGCCCGAAAATGCCCCCCCCCCCCCCCCCCCCACCAA